GAATGAAGGATAGGATATTAATTTAATAATTATTAAAAAATTCTAGTAGATTACAAGGTTGAAGTATAGTAAAATATGAATTGTTGACATAAGGCACTAGTAACTAGCGGACCAAGAATTAATTAGAAACAGACTGTTGTTTATTAATAAAGTAAAGAAAAGGGTATTAATTTATTAATTTTAAAAAATATAGTAGATTACAAAAATCAAAGTACAAGTAAAATAAATGCATCTATTAACATTTGACACTAGTGGATCAAGATCTTAAAAAAAATGACTTGATGTTTCCCTATTAAAAAAATACATATATTATATTATAATTTTATTATGAAAATCAAAGCACAATAAAAAAACCAAAAGTCCACATATGTGGAGTGGAAATTATATAATTAATAAAGAAGACTTTTAAATCTTGCAGATGACATTATAGAACTACTCAAATCTCTTTCCGTGATTTTCTCCTACATATTTGTGTGAAGTCATAACCTAAAGGTCCTTAATTATGTGTTCTGTGATAAAATTAAACAGCCCCTTAATTATTTAATTTAACGGGCTGTTTTGATTTTCTTTCTTTTGAATTCTTATCTCTAGATTCTTAAAAAAAGAAGAGAAAATTAAAAAAAAAAAAAAAAACCCTTTTAATTGTCAAATCTGAGATCTAAAAAGATTATATACAATAACGAATCTAAAATTTCTTGTTAAAGTAGGCCAAAATAAAATATAATAGTATATAATATTCATATTTCATGTTTTTAGTTGAAATTGACGTAAAAAGAAAAAAAATTACGTATAAATATTTTTCTTTTTTTTTAAATTTGAGGGTAGGCCATGATCCGCCCCTGGTTATATATTGTCAATAAGTATTAGAAGAGCTAGCCTCATATACTAAAATGCTACTAAAAAGAGATAATACTTCACATATAAATTGTCTCATATAAACTGGCATATTTTAAAATGATTTGATGACTAAATATTAAAAATAAATCAAACGATTAAAAGATATTTTATGACAAACATGCAAAATTATTACTCATTAAAAAACTATAAATCCCAAGTGTCTTTTGAGTTTCTTGAGCAATCAATAAAATAAATAATGTGATAATATACGAAATAGATGTTGGAAAGATGGCTTAAATCGGTTGTTGATGTGGGAACATACAGAATAAAATAAAAATTTGAGACACCAACTCAAGCAAACATAAGGGAGATATAAAAAACTTTTACCGACTTATTATTTCTTTCAAAAATATTAATAATTGAAAGTATATTCTTTGATTCTGAAGCTAAATTCTAATTCTAGTCAAATTTGGTGTTATCAATACAATATTATATACTTATTGACGAACTAAAACTAGACATATTTTAACGATAATAATTCACAAAAAATAAATAAAATAAGTTTATTCACTTGGGGTATTATCAATTAGGGGACATAGTTTTATGAAAAAGAGAAAAATGATACAAGTTTCAAAACACACAAATAAGAACAATTTGGGCTTTGATTTGGCTACGCAAGGCGAGATTGTGAAGGTTGATGGCCTTTCATATTTCTTTCTTTTTTCTAAATTCAAATTATAGAACTAAATTTATTTTTCTATTTAAGTTAGCACTAATTGTCTTCAATAGTTTGATTTTAATTTTTTTTATAGATATTAAACACGGCACTATTGTATGACACATGGCCAGGACCGTTTTAAGAACATTTGTGACTCTAGGCAAAAGTTACTTTGGGGGCCTTCTAATAATATAAACATATATTAAAAAAATTATTTCAAATTTAATTTTCTTGTCTTTTGAGATGCAAAATCATTAGGATAGGTGGAGAGCAGATGCTAGAGAAGCGATGGGTGGTGAAATTGGTGATTTCCAATACCAGGAGTGACCGAAAAAGACTTGAGAAGTCACGGCCCAAAAGGTATCGGTGGTCGGCGATTAGCAGAATAAACAGAATAGGTATGATAGGGGTTTTGGGGTTTTGGTGAGAAGGCAGAGCGCAGGAAGATGGTGGTGTTGGGGAAGGCCAACGATGCCAAGTACACGCTGAAAAGGCCGGAAATGGCTGTCGCACGCAGTGGAGCTAGGTTGCGAGATTTATAAAAAAAAATGGCCAAATTAAGGGCTATCAAGGTTGGAAAAACACTTGGAAAACGATAAAGTGATGGTTCCGATCTATTTTGGTGAAAAATTCGATCGAAATTAGCTCCGAACGGTCGACGGCGGAAGAGGGGTGGAGATGATTTATGTGAATGTTAAATTTTGGGATTGAATTGGGGATAAGTAATTTGAGACAAGTAAATGACCATTTTAGCCTTTCATTGTTAAAAGAAATTTAATGTGTTAATTTAAGAGTGTAAATTAAAATATATGAAACTAGAGGTACAAACTTGCCATTTCATCAAACTTTGGGTGGGAATATAATATATGTAAAAAGTTAATAATAAATTTAGGCCTTTTTTGTTTTTTTTTTTTTTTTAGGCCCCTTGGCTTAATAAGAAATTTTATACTTTTTTTTTTCATAATATATTAAAAAAAAAATTATAAAAAATTTGGCCCTTTTCCGCCTTATTTTTTGGGAGGCCCTAGGCAAGTGCCTCACCTGCCTACCCCTTGAGCCGACCCATGGCCTAAGCGGTGTATATAATACTCCTTTCGATATGAGATTGAATGGCTTCCTATCAAAAAGTGTGGAACAACTAGAACACCAGCTCCTCTCCAGTGGTTATTGGAATACTTCTTTCGATACTATTATTTTATAAAATATAAATAAAAAGTTATATAAATAAATAAATGTTACATTATTTCACATAAAGTTTCCATTCATGTTAACACTTATTATTATTATTATTTCGATAAATTCAGTTTCTGATTGTCAATATGTACAAATGCAGCTATCCAGAAGTTTTCAAAGGATTATCAACACAGCTTAAAGAAAATGACTGTTCATGTACTTTTACTTTTAGAGGTTTTTTTTTTTTTTTTTTTTTTTGGGGGGCGGGGCGGGGGAAGGTATGAATCTCATGATTTTTGTTATTAATTATAGATCATATTTTGGTACTAACAAAAAGATATGTTTCTCGAACTCTCAGCATTGACAAACAGAAATTATTACGATATTTATGCAAATAGTAATCGAGGAAACTAAAGAATTGGTGATAATTCATGTATTGCTTCCAAAACGTTCAAGATTTTCCCATAAAAAAAAAAAAATTAGTTTTCCCTAGTTCCCTTCACACAAAAATCCTTCATCCTATTTCTAATTTCTAATACCCTTTTAGCCAAATAACACATCAGCCCCCAGTTTCTTACAATTACTAACAAACCCCTTCCTACCTACTTTCTTGCTGTTACCAACTACTAAATAATAGCTGTACTATACGAGCATTCTGCATCATTATATTTATATATAAATAGGAATCAGAGTTCAATACTTATATGCAAGTCTCATCGTCACTTTGTTGATGTGATAAAATTGTCCAATGAAACAAAGACATGTATTGTTAATTTTCAAAAACCTCCTCTCATGGTAGTGGTTATAGATAAAACATTAAAGATACTTATTCATAAATAATAAAGATGGATAAATAAAAAAGAAAATTTGATAAACATGTGACGATACATACTATACTATTATATCATTAAACCACTCTATTAACAAAGTCAGATGGTAAGACTAATATTTCTCAGTATAAAAGCATTATCCATCATTGTATTTATATATACATTAGAAACAGGGTTCAATACTAAACCTTGAATTACTCGCCATGGCCAAAGGAAACACTAATCCACTTGCTCTTGCTATCCCCATCTTTACTGGGGAAAATTATGATGTTTGGAGTATTAAGATGAAGACATTTTTTGTACCAAGACTTATGGGCCGTTGTTAATTATGAAAATTATTTAGAGATCACCGGCTCCACTCTATCTGAAGAACATCAGAAGCAGTTGAAAGAAAGAAAAATGATGCAGCAGCACTTTTCATCCTTCAACAAGCGGTGGATAATAATATTTTCCGCAAAATTTCTCGTGCTCAGAAGGCGAAAGACGCATGGAACGCTTTGAAAGTAGAGTTCCAAGGCATTCCTCAGGTACGCGCTGTGAAACTGCAATATGGATCTCTTATTCATTACAGCTTATAATCGCCTCTTCTTCATCGCAGACTACCACCTTAGCAGAAGGGAGAAAGCTGGGTAAGTAGCGGAAAACTAAAATAAATTTTCAGAAGTAAAGGAATAATATTCCAACGGAAAAAAAAGTCTGAAAAGTTTCTTTTTCTTTTTATTGCAGAGGACTTCAAGAAACACCTGCCATTATATAAAGCTATACTCGAAGGTGATCTGAAATCGGTACGAAAACTCTGTGATGAGGATGAGAATGCGTTAGAAACGAGAATTACGGTAAACTTGGACACAGCTCTTCATGTAGCTGTTGGGACAGGCAAGGCAAATCATATTGTGGAGTATATCTATTGAATCAGATGTCAATGCATCGAGTGTCACTGAAAAATAAAGAGGTTAACACTGTTCTTTCCATTGCTGCAATTATTGGCAATGTCCAAGCAGCCTGCATGATAATCAAGAAAGATGAAAATCAAACTTTAATTCAAGATTCAAACAAGTCAAAAAGGATACCTTTGATTGAGGCCACTCATCATGGCCAAAAGAAGATGGTCAACTACTTATTGCAAATCAGAAAATTTGGTTTGGACTCTGTACCACGTTTTACATCAACTGTTCATTTCGCATGAATGCTTATAATTGCTGACTTTTATGGTGAGTTAATTCTTTCTTTTGCTACCACTAACTATAAGCGATTTACATAGCTGGTTTTCTAAACCTAACTTTCAATAAATGCCGATGAAAGTTTCATTTACTTTATTGATACATATTTACAGTAACTTTCTTCATGTAAAAATTTGAAATTAATGATCCTAAATTCATGTCGATCATTATATCTCAGACTTGGCTTTAGACTTGCTTCAAAAAAATCCAAGTTTAGCGACAATGACGTTTCATGGTGGTGAATCTCTTTTGAGTGAAATAACCAGAAAGCCATCTGCATTTCCAAGTGGAGGAACAAGAAAGCCACCGTTTCGGGAATACTTCCGCGTTTCTAAGGGTGAGTGTATATTTCTTTGTTATTTTCTTTTGTTTTTATTGCTATATAAAAGTTCTTTTAGATCAACATGTATTAATAAACAATATTCTACAATGAAAATATTTCAAATAAAAAAGGATTGAAATTTGATTTTGCTTTCATTCTTTTTTTTTTCCCCTCAAATTCCAAAAAGAAGAACAAACCCGTTTTTAAAAATTCAGTAGACAAATTAATCCAGTTTAAAAAAATTAGCGAACAGAATTAGTTACTTATTTTTCTATTTCTATTTTATATTCTAGATTTTATATTCAGAAGTTTAGTCTAATTTATTAGGAATTTTCTTTCTTTCTTCCACTTTTCAATAAAAACTGCCTCGTTCTGCCAGGTTCTTTAAAAAAAAAAAAAAAAATAGAAACAGAATTAGCTTGATTATCCAAATTATTTCACAATTTTATAAGAATCCTTTACTGATCTAAGTTTGACATGCACTTTCAATAATTTATAACACATCACACAATAAATTGGATGGTCAAGATTTGATGTTATAAATTTTTTTATTTCACTCACAACCACTAAAAAGTTAAAGCAAGCTATATTCTTCCCCATATATATAGAAGCTCTATTTGGTACGATTTATTGAAGTAAAACTTATTAGTAGAGACTTATGAAAATATAGTTTTAGTAAAGCATTTGTTAGTTGTTTGGTTAAGAAAATGTAAAAGAGTTTTCTAGTGTTAATTTACTATATACGAAAATAGATCAAGTCAAATGTATAAAATGAAGTAGTGTTAATTTTTACACTTCAACGTTCTAAATAAGCTCAAAAAGAGTTTATAGAAGCCTTTGATTAGCTCTCGACAAAATTCCATTGTGGTGAACAGCATCTCAACCTTATTTCATTTTCTTAAGAAAATTCTTATTATATTTGTTATTAGTATAAGTACTGGTATTCGGCCTTGTATAAGTAAAAATCAATATTTGTTATTAGTATAAGTATTGGTTTTCTTCAGTTTGTTCCTCTTTTTTTGTCTAAATTAGACACTAATTTATATGACCGCCAAGGAACTGTAAAATAGCTTATTTAAAATCTTATAAGCATTTTTGAGATGTAACCAAACAATCCAAAAATTAAAAAAAAAAAAATTTAAAAACACTTTATACCTTTAAATAAGCTCTTTTGGTTTGTTGATAAGTCCACCCGAGTAATGCAAACCATCCCAAGATATATCCCAAATTTCACATCCTAATTTGCTACTATATATGGTATTGCAATGTCACTTAATCCATCATCATTTTATTTACATGTTAATGCCACACATGATGACATATCACTTGGATTTAAATTTTATTTTCGAATTGTGAAATAAGAAAAAAATTAATTACTGAATCTTGACCACACATTCTTTAGCAACCACATTTCAACCGATTATACAAAGTTCAGTTAAAACTTAAATCACGAGAGAATCCTAATCCTATGTTTTCACAATAGACAATCTCAAGTTTAGATTATAAAGTTTAGTACTTGTATTTAGTTTTAGAAATTGAAACTATTTTAATTTAATATTTTATAGTATAGGTGAATTGATATAAGAATTATGTAATCCTAAAAGCTAGTGTAAATTTTTTGAAAATTATCTTTGAATCCCAATTTAAATACCGGGTTAAATATGCAGTTATTGTCATTGCTGACTATTGAGTTTGTTTAATTTGCAGTTATAAGCTATACAAAAAATATAGGAGAGACAAAGTTGATGCATAACGCATTACTTCAGCTTGTCAAACAGTTATGCAAGGTAATTGTAGACGTTAAAAACGACTATGGAATAACTTATTTGATACTAAAACGATCGCTCCTTTTAGCGGCAAAATTGGGGGTCTACGAAATCGTGAAAGAGATTATAAAGTCATATCCTGATGCAATATGGTTTACAAATGAAAAAAATCAAAATGTATTCCACTTAGCAGTCATGAATCGTCAAGAGAAAGTATTTAACCTCATATATGGACTGAATGATCGCAAACATTTGTCATTAATTTCTAAAGACGTTGACAAGAACAACATCTTGCATTTAGCTGGAAAGCTAGCTCCTGAAAATTCACTAAATGGCATTCCTGGTGGAGCCCTGCAGATGCAACATGAGTTACTATGGTTCAAGGTAAGACTTCTTATGAAACATTATGGGGCCAATTAAAAAAAACTATTGGGGAAGTGATAACTCTTCAATAGGACAAATATAAGTGGGCTTGTCTACTGTGTCATATTTGTGCATTTGTATTGAAGGAGTCTCTATTTCTATTGACATAGTCTATTAGTACTGCGTATGGAGTGAGGGATGTCAACATGACACATGGAGCCCCACCCTAAGGGGTTGGGTTTGGTTAGTAAAATTTGGGGGTGAGCTGGACTTGAGTTTAAATATCTCGATCCAAATTATTTTGGGGCAGGCATGAGATTCATGAAATGCTAACTTTGTCCCTGACCTGCCCCATTTGCCCCAAAAGTATATAAATATGAATAAATAATTATATACAATATTTAATATTAAAATTATAAGTATTATTAATAAATGGTTATATTATTTACTTTAAAAAAAAAAAAAAAAAAAAAAACCCTAGTCCCAACAACATTATTCCTCCATTGATTTAATTCAAATTGTTTTTTTTTTTTTTTTTTGTCATCTCAAGTAGTATACGTTATCCATTATTTGATGAATTATAATTTATATTAATTGGAATCAGATTTATTATAAACTTATAACTAAATTCAAAATCATTTTATTTCTTGTGTTTATAATTTGTTTTGATAATTTTTGTGGTTGAATTATTAAACTTTGAATATAAATTTTGTATTAGATAATTAAAATTATTATTTATCATTTTGATTAATTTATTCAAAGAAATAGTTTATATATATATATCAAATGGGGCGATAAAAAATTTTTGTTTAAAAAAGTAACCCAAACCCAAACCCGACCAATTTTTCAGAATGGATAATAGGTTGGATTTGAGTATTCATAAACGAGATGAGCATAGGCATGTACTTCTTGGTATCCAACCCACCCCTTTGACATCTCTATATGGAATCATATGACTGAATAAGATATTATAGCAACACAAGGGGAATGTGGGGCGAAAGGGTAAAGATTTTATGAAGTACACTCGCAATTTTTCATATTTATATTTTTGTAATTAAGAAGTTTATTTTATGCAGGAAATAGAGAAAATTGTACAGCCTGCGTACAAAGTGGACAAAAATCGTAATGGAGAAACTCCGGCAATGATATTTACTGAGGCACATAGGGAACTCGTTAAAGAAGGTCGGGATTGGATGAAAGTTGTAGCAAACTCATGCTCAGTGGCAGCAGCACTCATTGCCACAATAGTATTTGCAGCAGCAATAACTGTACCTGGTGATTACAATGATGCTGGCATACCAATTTTTTACAAACAGATAGCCTTCACCACCTTCAGTGTTTCAGATGCAGTGTCTTTCTTCTCATCAATTGCTGCCATCATAATGTTCTTGTCCATCCTCACAGCACGCTATGCATGTTATGTTGTTCCTCTCTCTAACATCGTTGATGGTAGCGTTTTGTGCCACTGTTTTTCTGGTGTTCTGCGACAGAAAGGCGTATTGGATACTTGCTCCAATGTTCGTGTCAGCTTTAGTCCCTCTGTACTTGTTTACGTCTTCAGAGTACCCCCTCTTCTGGGACTTGATGGTTCCCACATACGGCTCCGGCATCATCCGCAAGGAAAGAACGTTTAATGAGATAATTAAGGAAAAAGGTTTGAAGTTAGTCTTTTACTGTTGCTGCTTTGGCTGCATTGGTACTCCTTTCAAAAATACCGCTTGATGCTCCCTGTTCCAGATTATCCCATATAAATATTTCTTGTTAGGAAATAATATGATGTGTTTTCTTTTTTTCTTTTTTCGTCTTTTTATTCACGTAACACTTCATTGAATTAAATTCACTTAATAGTGTTAAAATATGTGTTTTTTATTTTTTAAGTTAATGAAAGTTTTTGGTTTACATTTTCTTTATATTAATTACTATAGTAATATCTCATTAAATCATAATTAATCATTAGTTATATACTAATATTATTAGTTTTTAATATCAATTGTAGAAGTTAGTTTAATTAATTATATAAAATATTTAAAACTAAAACTGATATTCATAATACTAATGTAGATAAGACAATCGAAATCTAGGAAACTAAAATACTGGTCTTCTTGATATGAATAACAAAACTGAACTCCTATTAAATTAATATAAATTTGGTTTAATTTTCGACAATATTTTTATCGAATTAGGAAAATTCGGCATGCTATTGAAGCTTATTGTAAAGGCAGTGGCATTGGATAAAGAAAGTTTAATTTTATGTTTTACTCTAAATCTGAAATTTTAATATATTTTATTTATATAAAGTTGTCAGCTCTAAAAATACTTCAAAAATTAATATAAACCCATTGTTTGATTGAAGTTCTAATTATTTCTTGGTTATATTATTATTTTTCTATTTAAACAATGTAAATTTGCAATAGTTTAATCAAATATAAAACTTAGAAAAGAAAAAAGAAGAAGAAAGAAACTAATAAAGAACTTTTCAAAAAGATTAAATGATAGTTATTTTTGCTTTAGGCCTAAAATATATGAAACCCAAAAATTAATTCATGTTGTAAAGAAAAATACTAAATACCTTTGGTTTCTTTGAAGTGTTCTTATTTACTCATTTAATTCCAATTATATCCTCACCTAAAATAAAAGATGTGGGCTTATTTAGAAAAACGAAATCTTACAAATTTGCTGCAACAGCAAAAATCAACTATAGGCTTTAATGAGAAGCCCATTTTTTATACGGACCTATGAAATCTTATATGTAGTCCTTACAAGTTTTCTTTATAGGCCTGTGAAATTGGTCTATATAGGCCCAAATAGGGTTAAACTTATATTTTCATCTCATATTATCGCTCGTATTGTCTCTATTGATCCAAGGATTTTCGTTACATAATCCTAAATATAAGAGATTTGTATATAGATATTTATAAACAAATTGATGTAGTACAAAAAAGAATAAATGAGTACATGTAAAGAGCAATTAAATTAATATTAGATAAATGATGTGGTAATAACAAAAGTATGCTACATTATTTTGTGGATTGGAGTTTGTATGATTAGTTTACACATGTATCACCTTTATGTTTATTAACCTAAAATTTATAAGTCTCTCTTTAAAAATGAAATTAGAAATATTATAAAATCATATAATTTAATAGAAACTTAAATGTAAATGTCACAAGTCACTTACTCACTTATAAGAAATTAGTCGAACAATCAAGTTTATGATTTACTCCAATATAGTATAAATTTTGAATCCCCTCATGAGCACCTATATGGCCAAAGGTCCTTATTTTCTACTTTTAGAAAATTGTAAGATTTTACCAGGTTTCATAAAACAATTAAAAAAAGAGAGAGAGAAAATTTCAATGTCAAAAATACTTTATATTATAGTTATGTTACATTATTTTTTGGATTGGAGTTTGTATGTTTAGTTTACATATGTATCACCATTATGTCTATTAACTTTGTCTTTGTGTAAGTATTTATGTGAATTTTGGACCTCAAGGATGTAGGAATCCTGGTAGGACTCAGGGTCTGTGAGGCGTTAAGTTTAGGACTATACCAAGTGTTCAACTTTGTCTTTGTGTAAGACTAGGAATCCCTTGTAAGTATTCTCATAGGATTCGTAGTCCTAAGGAATAGGATCACTTGTAGGACTTGGAGTCCTCCTTAGTAAAGAATCCTCATGAGACCTGGATCCTTGAGGAATGAGGAGTCATCATGGGATCCAGATTCATCAGGGGTCGGACTCCTAATCAGACTCAGAGTTCTAAATGATGTCTAGACATTCGCTTTGTCAATGAACCTTAATGGATAAGAAGGCCCAAATTGTAGAGCATCTCAGTTTATAAGATGAGCTTCGGCTTGAAACCAACAGAAATTAGGCCTTGCACGGAGCTTTTTGTTATTGGACCTGTTAGGGCCGAATACGATATTTTGCCTATACAATGGGAAAAGGAGGAGATTTAACTACTCTTTAATTTGAATGTGAGGAAGAGAGAGAAGGATGGGTGGTACTAGTGGGTAAGTGACTTTCGTTTGCAGTTTCTCTTTTTAAGTATCGAAACTTTTTTTTATCTCTTTATATGGCCTTGTTTTTGCCCTGGATTTTCTTTCATTTTCTTTTGGATTTTTCATTAGAAACAAACACAACTAAATTATGTATTTACTATCAAGGAATACATTTCTCTGTTATATTTTATTGATATTTTAAGACAAGTTTAAACTCTTTTAATTTGGGATTTGCTCAACTGGGCTATGAAATTTGAAGTTATATATCAATAAGATTTATTTATAATAATTCATCATAAAGAATTTACCTGAAAAAGCTGATTTCATAAGAGGTAAATTAATAGAAACAGCTACTTGCTTTGCTAATTAGAAGTGGCATTTGACAAATTGAATTTAAAAGATGTCCAAAACGACTCGTTTAAAGACATTTTTATGGCAAAAATAAATTGTTAAAAGAGTAAAGCTGCACTAGCTCTGTATTTATAACTTCTATAAACAGACGGAGGTGTATTATAGTTTTCGTAGGGTTTATTTGTCATTTTTATAACTAATAGGCATGTATTGGTAATTTTTTATTATGGTGAATGATGAATTTGGAGATGTAAGATAAGGTGAAGTTTTGATGTTCATGTGTTTGGGGATGATTGGTGGTGTAAAGTTATTTTGTATTGTGGTGTAAAGAAGTAAGTTGCAAAGAAGAGGGTGTTAGTTCTGAAATTTAAAACATTTATAAGGGTCATTCATTAATCTTATTTCTTATTAACTTAGGGTTGTAAAGTAATTTATTACTTTATTTAACAAAAATTTATCAGCTTAAAGGGGGTATTCCAACCGTCAAATATGGTCGAAATGAATATTCCATGGACAAAGACTAACGCTGGATGGTGGAAAAATGTAAGGGTGGGCAAGTGCAAGTACCCACCCAAAATACGAAGACTAACGCTGGATGGTGGAAAAATAGGGGTGGGCAGGTGCAAGTACCCACCCAAAATCAAAGGAACTGGAATCATAATCGAAACCAGAACCGAAACCAGAATCGGAACCAGAACCGGTGGTTCCTTTGATTTGGAATCGGAACAGGAACCAACAGTTCCGATTCCCTAGACCTTAGAACTGGAACCTGTGTTACAAACTCCGGTTCCAGTTCTGGGTACCCGACAAATATCAATTACCCACTTTTAAAAAAATGACAAATAAACCCTTCAAAATTACAAGTACACCCCTAACAGTTTTCTGAAATGTTGTCAAATTGACCAATCAATTGAGAAATAAGTGTTCAAATAATGATGAATTGGAATACTAATAATTGATGGCTATTTGAGAATTTTACTCTAATGTTTTGATCATCAGCGTTATAAACAAATAACAATTATATTGAATGCTCATCTCATTGTCTGTTGAATTATTTATATACCCAATAACTAAAAGTTAAAGGACTAGTGGTTAAATAACTATCAATATAATATTTAAACCAATAAAAATATCCTATTGAGTTGTAATTGTGATCCCAATTTGCTGTCTACGTAATTTTCAAAAAAATTGAAAGTTGAAGTACAATAAAAATATCATCCATGACAACACAAAACACTTTAATTAGCGGAGTACAAAGAAACTTCAGTATCTATGGATATTATGTATATAAAAAGTTACAAAATATCAATAATTTGAGTTATTCCACCAATTCCCTTTGATTACTTTACGAGCACAACAGTTTAAATTTTCAAAGAATCAAATCAGGTGAAGAAGCAGGAAATTGCAGCAAGCCCTTAAGCATCAAATTCTGACAGGAAGCTGTACTCTAGTCCCTTTAAAAATAAATTAAATGAATAAATAAGAACACTTCAAAGAAACCAAAGAACATTCCATTACTGCAGTTTTTTTGTATGCATGGTTTCAGTTTATGCTACAAATTGAACTGAAGAAGATATGGTTTCTGTAAATTAAGCACAATTGTCAAGTATTGTTGAGGGAAGAGGACATGAACTCAGAAAGAGAACAATAAATGAGAAGACTATGAACTTCAACCACCATATCTAGTCAACTTACTGATTCAAGCAAAGATAACCTGCAAATTAAAATTATAGAACTAATATCATAGAAGATGATGACATACATTTGACTATGCACATAGACATAGAACATACTAAAGGCAAAATCCTAAAAATAAAACTTAAAAAATTGACACAAAGAGCAAGCATCTTTTGAACCCCAATATATCCTTAAAAGAGGTAGCTGAATACATACAAAATAAACAAGCAAAAAGTAATGAAATGAATATATCTGGTGCAATTAGTGAGCTAGAGATAGGGAAATAAAAAAATTAAACTTAAATGGCAGATTCATAAGATCAAGGTTTAGATTTGTTAACCATGTTACCATGCAAAGCAAGCTGCAACTTTAAGAAAACTCATGCCGGTTTCTTTTGTCTTTTCACAGTAAAATTAGTTAAAGCAAGTTGGCTTTTAGCGCCAGTTTTTCAGTTCAGCACGTTATGTGCTTTCCAACAAAATGCAAGTGGGAGCTCAAGTGGCAGAGCAAGTTGTTATCTAATGGTGGAAGATTGCAGCTGAAGAATAAGTTCAACGGAGAAGATTGCTTGAAAGATCAAGTGGCTGTGTATAAATTGTAGTCA